AAGCTTTTGTGGTACAAAGTCTGAAACTGTTAGAACATGGTGATGTGTAAGACCCACACCTGTTTTCCACCATACTCAGTGGCTGAGTTCCCTATACCTGTATAAATAGTTGGAAAGCTGGTGGGTACCCTGAGAGGTGTTCATAGAAGATAGAGTGGGCAATACTAACATTGTAGAGCATTGAGCCAAACAGAAGGCCAGGAAGGCACCAAACCAATGACTGTCTCCTTGCACTCAGTGTTTTTTATGAAGAAAAGATGATGAATGCATGGATTGCTTGGGAGAGTACTGCATAAATGAGAGAAACTGGTAATACTGATTATTTTATTGCCTCTGAAATGGTTAAAGTCCTAAGAATAGGCAAATTAGGATTTGGACTTCCAAGGGCATCTGTCATTGATGAAAGAATAGGTAAGTGGGGACTAGAGAGATGGCTCAGGGGTTAAGAGTACTTCCTTCTCTTGTAGAGGACCCAGTTTCTATGCTCAGCACCCATGTGGTGGCTCACAACCATCCATAACTCAGTTCTAGGGCCTCTCTGCTTTCTTCTGACCTCCTCAGGCACCAAGCACTCCTGTGGTGCACATACATACAGGCAGACCAAACACCCATACACAGAAAACAAATAAATCTAAAATGAAATAAAGAATAGATAAGTAATTCCAATTTTTATTTTTTTCCGTTCATTTTTAGAATGTCAGTAAAAATTTTGAATTGAAACTATTCTTTGAATTTTCTTTTATTTATGAGATCATTCCTGTCTCATTTAAAAATATGCTTTGAACATAAGCTCCTGCTTGAACATAAGGGTTAGCTGCCATTTGAATCCATTTAAAGTGTCACTCAGTGTAAAGCGGGTTCTTGAAATATCGTACTGCAATCTAATATTTACCGAGAGTTGTCTCCTTCTGTTCCTCTTATGAATCTTTAGCAAGAGCTTTGCGTGTAAAGTTACAGAGTTGAAGTGCCAAAGTGTAGCCCTAATACCATGAGCTACAGAGACTCTTTCGAGACCTGCAGCATGATTGTAATTAGGAAAGTAAATTTCATTTTAAACACTATCAGGAGGCACAACCAGGAAGAAATAATGCGGTGTGCTTTCAGTAATAAAGAATAGATCAATATTTTAAAATGTGATAAATTATAGAGTCCTTTCCTGTGCCTCATAAATATTCCAGCAAACACAGTTGTTAAAGACAGATGTTGCACTGACTAGCAGGGTAGTGTGTTTAAATATAGTTATTCTGCGGTGTTGGGATGCTGTTTTCTAATGTCAGGAGAAACGTGTTATTAAACTCTAGAATTCAATGTGTTATGCTAATGTACTGCTGAGTCCATTTACATTTTATGGAATAATTTTATTTGTTCTGCACTTGCTGGCTGGCAGAGAAAGTGAGCACTGTTTGGTGATATTTTGAAGCTGTAACATCCTCAGCATCTGATTTAGAGAAATTCAACTGTAAATCTGGAAATAAGTGTTGGACGCTATCGTCAGTGACTCTGTGGTCCAAACATAGTTTGCCCACCACTTCCCAGTGTACCTCCTGGGAAGCCAGTGTCCCTTTCCAGCCAGTTTCCTTCCACAGTAAGTTGTGGTGACATTTAAGAGGAAAGCTATGAAGACTACAAGGAGATTCATTTTAAATGGCAACAGTGGAACCATGAGAACATTCCTGAAATCCAGACAGTAAAAAATGCCTTCTACAGTTAGGATGTATCATGCCCTGTCCCCTCATACCTATGTGCAGGTGTGTGTGCTTCACATGGAAAGGATGTGCCACAGCTGGTGCTTAATAGCTTTGCTTTTAACTACATCAGCACTTCATGATTTCTTCCTGGCCAGTACATAGCACCTGTTGCGTTTTTCCCAAAAGAATATAGATCATCTTATTCTGTAAATGAAGAAGCACCCTGACCTTCTATTGATTCACAGGAAACATGTATGTACGTGTATTTATATTTTAAAGTACACATATTTTGTTTTTGTTTTCTATTGACAGAAATTATATCCACTGTGCAATGGTTAAACCTAAGTAACTGAAAACGCATTACCAGCTGGGTGTGGTGGTGCACACACCTTTGATCCCAGTGCTTGGGAGGCAGAGGCAGGCAGATCTCTGTGAGTTTAAGGCTGAACTTGTCTACACAGCAAGTCCCAGGCCAGCCGGGGATACCGAGGAAGACCCTGTCTCAAAATGAAACCAAACAAATGAGCAAAAATTACCTCACATGGTTTTCCTTTTAGTGATGATCACATCACACACAGCAGCCATGCTCTGCACTTGACAGAATATAATGTGTCATTATTAGTTATGGTCACCCCTCTTTATTGAACTATTGAAACTTACTCCTCCAATCTAATGAGAAGATACTCTTTAAAAAAACAATATCTCACCGGGTGGTGGTGGTGGCTTACACCTTTAACCCCAGCACTCGGGAGGCAGAGCAAGGCGGATCTCTTTGAGTTTGAGGCTAGCCTGTTCTACAGAGGGAGATTCAGGACTGGCACCAAAACTACACAGAGAAACCCTGTCTCAAAAACCAAACCAAACCAAACCAAAATGATACCTCCCACTCCATCCCTCACTACCAGCCCCGGATAACCACCATGTGTTCTAGTTCTAGGAAATCAACTTCTTGGTTTTTTTTTTCTTTTTTCTTTATTTTATTTTTAAAAAATTATTTATTTTACATCCTGGCCACAGTTTCCTCTCTCTCCTCTCCTCCCAGTTCCTCACCCCCATACCCCCTTTTTCCCACCCTCAAATCCCTTCCTCCTTCTCCGTTTCTGTTCAGGACAGGGCAGGTCTCCCATGAGATCAACAAAACATGGCCTATCAAGTTGCAGTAAGACTAAACACCTCCCCATGTGTTAAGGCTGGACAAGGTGACCCAGTTTGAGGAGTGGGGTCCCAAAAGCCAGTAAAAGAGTCGGAGACAGCCCCTACTCCTGCTGTTAGGCGTCCCACAAGAGGACCAAGCTACACAACTGTAACACATAGGCACAGTGCCTTGGCTAGTCCCATGCAGGCTCCCTGGTTGTCAGTTCAGTCCCTGTGAGCCCCTGTGAACACAGGTTAGTTGATTCTGTGAGTTTTCATATGGTGTCCCTTGACCCCTCTGGCTACTACAATCCAGAAATCAACTTCTTAATGTTACATATTTAAGATTTTTAGGATATTTTTCTATGGCTATGAGAAATGTCTTTGGTACTTTAGGTAGGGGTTGCATTGACTACATAGATCACTTTGGGTAGGGATTATGTTGAATCTATGGATGGCTTTGTCTAATAATAATATTCTTCTAGTTCAGGAATGTGAGGGATTTTCATTTATTTTTTGGTCCATACTTTAGAATATTTCACAATTAATAGTTGTACAGGACTTAGAATATAAACTATGTAGACAGGTCTTTGCTTTATTCTTAGCCCAAACCAGATTGATCATTATTAACAAGATCTTTGAAATTCCTTAGTGGCTACAGATACAATTTTTTTTTTGGTGTATCTGTTTGTTTTTGACTCAGTTTCATGTAGCCCACAATGGCCTTGAACTTACTGTTATAGCAGGATGACCTTGTACTGGATTTTCAGGTGTGAACCACCAAGCACATCCTAGTTTTGACCTTCATTTATTGGATTATTAACTTCAGACATTATGTGGATGAAACAGGAGTGAAATATAAGGAGATGTCGGACTTGACTCTCTCCAGAGATACGATTTAGGAATTACAGCATTCCTCTGGTTCATACATATCACTGTGCCATTTAATGTCTCCCATAAAGTAAGGCTTAACCATCATAATGATTCTCAACTGGGAGGGAGAAAGAGTGTTCAATCACTCATTCTACCAAAAGAACCCATCAGAATCTTCAGGAAGGCCTTCTTCAAAGTGTGTCTTCCCTCCAGTCCCCAGCGGGAGTGTGCCTAGCTGGTTGAGACTCTCTGCATGTAATTTATTATGTTACTAGTGGAGAAGTGTTATGCAGCAGATGTAGAAGCAAACAGACAAAAGGAGCAAATTGACATAATAATAATAATAATAATAATAATAATAATAATAGTATATATAAAGGTTACAACAAGTAAGTAGCAAACAGTTGCCTTTTTTAGGGTAAGGGGCATTTTTTTTTAGTCTCTTTTTATTTTCTAAGTAAGCTTTTATGTTTTTGCTTGCTTTATCTATCTATCTATCTATCTATCTATCTATCTATCTATCTATCTATCTATCACTTATTTAGTGTGAGGATTAAACCTAAGACCCAGAGAGCAAGTACTCTACCACTGAGTTGCATTGCCAGCCTAGATCCCTCTTTTTATGTATCCCAGTACTTCATCTTGAGTCTTAGCAGAAGTTTCTTCTTTCTACTCACTTCCTAAGAGTTCTTCTGAGCATTGGTGGGTGGAGACCCGCAACACACAGTAGTGACGTATGGACCGCACAGGAGGGAAGTGTCTTCTATGGGTGGAGACAACACACAGTAGTGACGTATGGACCGCACAGGAGGGAAGTGTCTTCTGTGGGTGGAGACCAGCAACACACAGTAGTGACATATGGACCGCACAAGAGGGAAGTGTCTTCTGTGGGTGGAGACCAGCAACACACAGTAGTGACGTATGGACCGCACAGGAGGGAAGTGTCTTCTGTAGGTGGAGACCCGCAGTGTACAATGGAGATGTGCACTACAGAGGATGCACATGTCTTTTGCAGATGTGTGCCAGAAAAATGATCATGACGCAGCCTTTCTGAATTTGTTGGAATTGAAAGTCTAAGTACTAACCCTGTGAACATGCAACCCATCATCTTTCGTGCCTTTAAACTAGATAGAACCCTCATAGTGGTCTGGGGTCTGACAGTGTGAAGATCCATCTTACTGCAAAAGTCACAGTGACAAGGGCGTGTGTGTCTGGAGCTTGGATCCACAGAGTTCTCTCTGTCACCTGAGGGTAAATGAAAAGCCTAAGATGAGAAGTATAATGGAGTTCTCTGTTTATCTACAGACTGCAGCGGAATATGTAAAATCCCGACTCCCGGAGGCCCTCAAGCAGCATCTTCAGGATTATGAGAAGGACAAAGAAAACAGTGTTCTGTCTTACCAGACCATCCTGGAGCAGCAGATCTTGTCAATTGACCGAGAAATGCTGGAAAAGTTGACGGTGTCCTATGATGAAGCAGGTATGTTGGTTATTAATACACACACACACACACACACACACACCCCACAGAACTCCTAGACCTGGACTAAATCTGGCTGTTTTTCTGAAGTAGGTGATGAAGGGCAAACTGGACTCGTGCTATACCAGTTACTGGCGAGTTTCTTCTCCGCTGTTCTAGTGTCAAAACCGTTCCGGGCGGTGGCGCTCACATGTCAAGTCCCCGTAGCTTTTGCTCCCTGTAAGTGGCGTGTTTCTGGCTGTTTACCAGCTGTCCTGCTGTCATCCTAATCTTGTGCGGTCGCTTCGGTCTTGGATAGCAGGGGGAACCCTTTACGTCAGTAATCGGACGGCTCTATTTCATCTGGGTGATTTCCTTTTAATATCAGAGATTGTGTTTTCCCAAGGGGTACTTGATTAACCCCTTCTGTGTTTCAGCTGGATTCGGCTTTCTTTTCTTCAACCATTCAAATGTTATCTGTTCTCTGATCCCACAGCAGACGTTTAGTTGACTGTATACCCTTTATCCCCTCCATTGGAACTTACCAGTAAAGCCATGGACAGACTCCCTAATCATGCCATTTTTTTATCACTATATAGTCTATAAGCTAGTTTTATGGAAACCGAGTGCAATATTATTTAGACTTGTTGAAACCTTTAGTAAAATGGAATTTAAGGCTGGGGTGTGGCTCTGTTAGTAGAGTGCTTGCCTAGTATCCTAATTTGTTTCCCATTGGTGTGATAAAATACTGACCAGAAACGACTTGGGAAGGAGAAGGTTTATTTCATCTTACACTCCCAGGTCGCGCCCATCACTGAGGGATGTCTAGGCAGAAACTCAAGGCAGGAACTGAAACAGAGACCGTAGAAGAATACTGCTTACTGGCTTGCTCCCCATGGCTTGCTCAACCTGCTTTCTTGTCCAACCCAGGACCTTGTCAGGGGTGGTACCATGTGCTGAGTACACACACACACACACACACACACACACACACACACAGACACATCAACCATAAATTAATTAAAAAATAAAGTGCCACAAACATGCCGCTGGCCAATCTGAAGGAGGCAGATCCTCATTTAAGGTTTCCTCTTTCCAGGTGACTCTAGTTTGAGTCAGGCTGACAGACCAGCACACCCAGCATGCACCTGACTCTGGGTTTGATCCCCTGCACCACATCAACTCAGAGCCTTGTGCATCAGACAGGCCTGTGGCATGTTCAGACATGTGCATACGCTTGACCTTGTCCTTTAGAGACAAATCCTTCAGTGCAGAATTCATCAGTGAGCAGTGGAAATAAATAAACACAGGCTTGAGAGTTCAAGGGTCCAAGTTTCTAGGCTTAGTGCTGATGAGATCTTTACAACATTAATCTCTTAGCACCTCTGTTTTTCATTTCATATAATTGAGCTGATATTCCCTTCGGTTGTTCTCATAATAAAGGATATGATGTTGGATCATGAGGTCCTTAGAAATCATATGGCTGATTAATGACACTAATGCTGCATAGGGACAGATTTGGATCTTGCCAATCTCTCAGACCATGTTAAGGTGTTCTTAGGGCCCTTTTGCTTGGGAGACAGAAAGTTTTTGGAAGCTCTGAGAAACTAAGCAGCATCTGTGGAACTCACAGCGTGAGCTCTGCCTGCCTTCGGTCATTGCTGTCTGTCCGAGCAGGATGGCAGGACTGGTGGAGGCTGGATACAGGCAGATGAATAAATGACACTCTTTGCTGTAAACCACAAGGTCCCTGCCTCCTCCTCTGTAGCTCATGCTCTACTGATTTAACTAAAGTAAGACGAGACAAATAGGAAAAGGTATTGCTAATCAGAAGAAAGCTATTACGTCGTAAAAGAAGGGTCCAGGCTAGAAGCGAACAGCGTCCAGTACTGGGAGATAACCACCCCACACTAAGATCCTCATTGGCTTCGGTATTTGGCCTCTTCCCGTGCTGTCTTTGCTTCTGCTTTCTCACATTTTAAATTCCACTATCCCAGTGTTAGGAAGGAGTGGGCTGTTGGTTAAGAATGGCCTGGTGTCTGGAGAGGTCAGTTTGTCCCTACTGCTCATCCACTGCAGTGTCAGCCTGAGTGACTTGATGGCGGTTATCACCATCTGTGGCTTCCAAGTGTGTAAAATATAATTAATGGGGGTGGGGGATGGGGATCCTTCAACATTGTCTACAGCATTGGCTCAGAACCTTTTCTCCTCCCTTGCTCCTGCCTTTAAAAAACAAAAAACAAAACTGTTTTCCTCTCTTTTCCTTTAAATACAAGAAACTTAAAACCTTGTTTACTCACAGTCCAAATATCCAATATCCAGCAACCTGACATTCATCAAAGAAATGGGAAATAAGCAAGAACTATGTGTGCAAAGCCAGGCTTGGTAGAACGACCTATAATCCCAGTACTCTAGAAGTGGGGGCAGGAGAGCGGAAACTCAAGGTGACCCTCTGCAACGTAGTGAATTTGAGGCTAGCCTGAGCTATAAGAGACCTTGTCTCAAAACCAGGGGAAACAAATGAAGCTGCTTCCAGACCACGTCACAGAACTTACAGACACGACAAGGACAGCAGAGGTTCCAGTCTCACCTGGAACCTACACGCTGTTATTTGATGGAGCGCTGAAGTCATTTCCTAGCATACTGGACAATGACAGGTCCAAGATGAAGGTGTCAGCAGACTCAGGGTCAGGAATTGCGTCATTGTAAAACAGTCGTTCGTTGCCTGTAACTTGCCGTGCTGGAAGGGCTGAGTGAATCTTCCTGAAGCCCCTGTTATAAGGACACCAGCCTTCCTCCAGAGGGTCCTGCCCTCCTGGCCCACTCGCCTTTCGAGTGGCATCCCTGTGGGAACAAGGTTTTACTAAGTTACTCAGACTTCCATGGCTGTCACATGAGAGCAGCCCTTTCCAAATGGGTGAGCTTTAGCTTCCTTTGCAGAGGCTTCTGCGTGGTTGACTTTGGCCGTGGCTGGGGGCCTGCCATAGGGCAGATATCCTGACAGCAAAAGCACACGGCGGAGTGGAGTTGCTCACTTCATGGTGTCTAGGAAGCAGACAGAGATGAGAAGGGCCCTGGGGACCGTTTCCCTTACCTTCTTTCTAATAATGCCATGAACCCATTGATGGGTCAACACATTGTTGGATCAGAGCCATCATGGCCCAGTTACAACTATCAGAACCATCAGCTGAGGACCAGGCCTTCAACCCATAAAGCTTTGCAGGGAGGGGAGTCTTCGTATCCAGGTCATCACAGGATTCAACATGGGGATGAAAAAATAACATATGGACTGTAGCACTGGGTTAGGATTGTCATTTGAATGGCGTAGATTTTGATGACTATAGGAATAACAAAGTTCTAGGATAAGTTGGCACTGAGATTAGAAACAAAAGATACAGATTCTGTTCCTAAATCTGCGGCCAACCAGATTTGTGCCTTCAAGTAACTGAAGCCCATTTTCCTATAAGTTGAGAGCATGAATATAATCTCATAGATACCCTTTAGTTCTGAAATGATGCTTCTGGAATCCTGAGGCTGGAGAGTTTGGGGAGCTGTGATTTCTGAAGGCTACACGTGGATACAAACCTCTCTCACTGCCAGTGTCATTTGTGTCTCATACCCGAGTAAAAGGAGACAACCCCACAGTGTTTCCTGTAGTTGCCCATGAACACGCAAACAATTGGTGATGGATGGGGAGTGAGACTGACTTTATGATTCAAACAAAAGCAGATTTTGCAGCTTTGCATGTCGATCCATGGCCACAATCCACCAATTAGGAGATGGAGCAGGAGGATCAGAGGGCCAGCCTGGACTGCTAGAGACTCTGTCTCAAAAAAATCCCAAATCAAACATAGGAAAGCCACCGGGCTTTTGGAAGAAAACAGTCTGAGATCTGTCCATTCATGGGTTCTCATTGAGGTGGTTTAGATGGTATCATTAGCATTTATCAATGCTAAACAAAATCCAGAGTAAGAAGTGAGATATGGTTTGTTTTTTATCTGTTACTGCTTTTGTTTAAATTGAAGTACATGTTCGCACATTTCAACATATTGGAGTTAGCATAGAGAAATTTCCAAGGTGGGAAAGCAATGACCTGATTTGTGAAAACAACTGAAATGGCATTTCACTATCTGAGGAAGCACCCCTGACCTGCTGTTCACTGCCACAGTGGGCAGGAGAGAAGCTTTCTGCGCGTTGCTCTTAGACTAATGTATTATTAATGCTTCTATAAGTGACCTTACATTCTGTTTTTAATTGTCTTGTGTGCTTGTGCATGAATGAATAACTTATGGTTTTTTTTTTTTTTTTTTGCTAAAGATATAGTAGTATGGTTTATCGTTCTCTGTGTGGGAGGATTTGTGAGGAGAGTGGGGTGACTGAGCCTGTTATGGGCTCAAGAGCCCTAAGCCTGGAGCGGGAGTCTCGAAAAATGGGAGCAGAGATGTGAGATTTTCTTTCATCTAGCAGGATGCCCAGTGGTTGCATCTTACCCCACATTGCCTTGAGACAGCAGCTTCCTGGACTGCTGCTAAGCTCTCCACTTCTGAGCTCTCTTCTCAGACCAGCAAGGGTCTTTATTTCTAGTCTTACAGTTCCCTGGAAACTCAGCTTCACATTGAGTGCGGAATCGGCCATGTAGAGAGAACGCTTGGGAAAGGAGGGAGTTCTGGCAGCTGCGGGTTGTGTTAACCTGAGCCCTCCCGTAAAGCGGCCGCCCGCAGATTCCTTTACAGGTACCAGGCAGTCACACAGCTTCCCCGGAAGAGGGGAGGACGGGGAAGCAGCAGCAATGTTTCCGTCTTTGCCCTGTGATTCCTGGTGCAGCTTTACTTTAGAAATGCCTGGGGCAGGGCCTGAGTGAGACTCCAGAGGAGACACTCCAGATGCCGCGGGTGTGCTTTTAAAGGGGAAGAGAAACATGCCATTAGCAACTGGAGTAGCTGAAGGTCCCCCCATTGAGATCACCTTATTCCCCTAGAGACAGATGATACCTGAGAGCTACAGCTGTTTTAACTGAGCCA